CCCCCTCCCTGTAAACATCAGAACGAGGTCAGGGCGCGGGGGTTGGTGCGGATCCGGATCCGGATCCGTCCACCTGCGCCGCTTCCAAAGCGGGACCAGGAGAAGGGGATGCCCAAGGGGAGATGAGGTCAGTCCCCAAGGGGACAATGAGGTCAACCCCCAAAGGGACAATGAGGTCAACCCCCAAGAGGACCATGTCATGAAGTCAACTATGTCATGAAGTCAACCCCCAAGGGGACGATGAGGTCAACCCCCAAAGGGCCAATGAGGTCAGCCCTCAAGGGGATGATGAGGTCAGCCCTCAAGGGGATGATGAGGTCAACCCCTAAGGGGATGATGAGGTCAACCCCCAAGGGGACCACATCATCAAGTCAACCCCCAAGTGGATGATGAAGTCAGCCCCCAAGGTGACCATGTCATGAGGTCAAACCCCAAGGGTTGTGCAGGAAGAGCTACAAGGAGCCAAGGTCCCACCAGAACCACCAGGGGGAGTAGAAGGTGGTGGCAACTCTCCCGGTGTAGGAAAACTAAGCTTTTTGGAGATGGAAACCTCCAATTTCTGGATTTTTCTAAGCTGGGAGGTGGGTCCAGGATGTCCAGGAGCTGAGTCCTCTCCCAGACTGGGCCGGCTCTTGAAACCAACTGGGAGGACTTTTCTTCTCCTCGCCTCCATCCTGGGATGGTGGAAACACATTCATGGGTTGAATTAATCGGATTTAGGTTGAAATTCCAGCTTTTGGAAGATATTTTTTTCAGAGCGGGGACATCATTTTAGGGGAAATCAGGTCCTCACTCCCATCTCGTGGTCCTGCGTTGGGACGTCCAACTTGGGACCAAGATATGGTTTTTTGGTGACATTGAAATGAGCTTCTCATTATCCGTCCAACACTGTTATCTGCGGCTCAAGAGCCCCGCCTGCCAGCAGAAGGTTCCTCACCCTGGGACGACCCAAACCTCACGTTTCTTGGACAATCCCAAACTCCACATTTCTTGGACAATCCCAAACTCTACATTTCTTGGACAACCCCAAATCCACATTTTTTGGACAACCCCAACTCCACATTTCTTGGACAACCCCAAATCCCCATTTCTTGGATGACCCCAAATCCACGTTTCTTGGACAAGCCCAAACCCCACATTTCTTGGACAACCCCAAACCCACGTTTCCTGGACGACTCAAACTCCACATTTCCTGGATGACCCAAACCCCACGTTTCTTGGAGACCCCAAATCCACATTTCTTTGATGACCCAAACCCCACATTTCTCGGACAACCCCAAACCCCACATTTCTTGGAGGACCCCAACCCCACATTTCTCAAAGGCCAAATGGCAGCTGCTCCTTCCCTCCTTGACCCCCAACCCCACCCGTTAACCCCGCGTTTCCATGGGCTTTTGGCGACTCCGGACATTTTTTTTTTCCTGGTTTCTTTTTTACCCTTTTCTTTCCATCCCGGGGCGAGAGTCGGCAAATTCGGTTGTTTCTGGAAAAAGGCGTCGCCTGCCCCCGTGCCCGGCGCTTTGATCCGATTCAATTTGATTGGAATTATCCTTTATTTGGTTTAATTAAACCTTGAGGCTGTAAACCCCCAGCGTCTCCTGGTGGCACCGGGAGGGCCCCATCCTGGCTCCCCCCAGCATCCCCAGTAGCACTGGGGGGGCCC